GTACAACTAATTCCATTAAAGCAAGCTCTAAGTTGATTTTCAATTGACTCCTCATTTGAGGAGGGCCAACGTGGCAGCGGCAGCGTCTGCGCTGTCAGCAATCAACATGTTCAATTGAGCATATCCTGCCTGGGCAGGACACAGCCAGAGCGACGCAATGTGATTACCCGACGCTATTTCGTACACACACGACAGCAGCAAGGAGCAGAGGTAGAAGCAGCAGCAGCAGCATCGCCCAGGACACAAGGACATCCTTGATGGCGTCTGTCCAGCGGGCGCCCGTTGGTTGCCTTTTACATTTCATTGGATTTTATGCGTTTTACTTTATGCTGATGTTTTTATTATTAAATTTCCCTGAATTTTCATTTACATTTTTTTGTGTTTCGCTTCACTTCTGCTTAAGCTTGCAACACTGACCTCCCTGCTCGCCGCCCACTTTTCGGTTGTTGTTGTTGTTGTTGTTGTTGTTGTTGCTGTTGCCTGCTGCTGCTGATGACTCCTCTTCATTTTCACACTTTTCATTCAATTTATCGCATTTCGCAAATTGAGTGTCGCTTTCCTTAGATGTTCTGTCCCGGTCTGCTTTATTCCCGTTTAACCTCCACTTCCACACAGCGGACGTGTCCAGGCACAGTCCTGATACCAATTGTGCTATTATCCTTCATCCGCTCGCCCCCGCCTCGACTCGTATTTCATAATTAGCCATTTTTAGATCTGCGATTTGAAGTCTATATACTTAAGCCAACAATTCATTTTAAATAACGATATTCATGAATATTTGGATAAAAAACACTCGAGCCTAACCCTAAAGAGACCCATATAAAAAAAACTGCTCAATTGAAATATAAATATTAATATAAATGGCGTTTATACAAAATATAAACAAGTGTTCAGAAAAAAATGCACCTACCCGCGCACGATTTTATTAGATACACATGCACACATATCTAATACTTAACTTACTGCAGAAGCCTAGAATTGCAAGGCCTACTTGAGTTCATGAGAATCACATAGAAGGGTAATATTTAAATGCGAAATTAGGACACACATGTTTTCATACATGCATGCACGCATATACATTAAATATATATATACACACGCACAGACATATATACGCCTGTAAGAGCTTTAGAAACTTTCGGAAATTTTTCTTAAAATAAAGTTTATTCCTGCAGCACACTAGATATTAAATATGGCAGTATACCGATTGTATTAAAAGTGTAAATATCTTTGCCCTAATTAAGTAAAACCCATACCAAAAACCGTCTTCGCTCTGCTCCAGGAGTTGCCAACTCTGCAGTTCAAGGCGAATGAATGTGTGTGTATGTGTGTGTATGTGTGTGTGTGTGTGTGGGTGTAGTCTTGTGTATATCGCAGCTTGCTTTCAACACCTTCAGCCGCTGCCCAAAGCCCACTGCTGCTTCCCCTCCCAGCTACCGCTCATTCAACCTATTCGCGTTCCAATTCATTTTTCAAGCTACCCGCACTACTCTGCCCCTTCCACCTACGCATCCCGACGACCCTTTGCCAGCTTCGCCTTGTGCACGCTTCATTTTTGGCAGCTCATGAATATTCATGGACATGAACGCGGAAAGGCTTGGCTAGCTATCTGGCGGCGTCAGCAGCTGACTGGACGGGGTGGTGCGCTCTGCGGTTGCTGTGGAGGGGGCGTGGGGGTATTACCAGCCACCAGACACCAGCCACTGCGCTGGCACATTATGCAAGCCATATTTTTTGTCCGCTCGCCGCGTTTACACAAATTGTTCACGCCCTACACTTAGCGCGGGCAAAGGCAAACCAGCTCCCATTCCGACCTATTCCCTGGAAGCTCTCCAAGAGGAGATTGTATATGTGTTTTGGTGCGTGTGTGTGTGTGTGGAGACTGTTTATTATGGGAATCTATCTAAAGTTCGCTACGACTGTGGTTAACGCTAACGGCAATTGAGCTGCTCGTCGCACTACTGAGCGCTGGCTCCTGCTCCTGCTGTGGCGCCGGGCTCTGCTGATGTTGTTGCTGCTCTTGCTGTGGCTCTTGCTCCTGGTCTGGCGCCGGATCTTGCTCCTGCATGTAGGGCAGCAGTAGCTCCTGCTCGAGCTTAGAGTTCGGCTTGGCCTTTGGCATTGCAAAGCGTTTCGTCCAGTAGCGCGCAACTTTGTCATGCTCCTTGCGATTGCATTTGTATTGATCGGCAATGCCCATGACGAGTGGATCGTTCGGATTGCATTCGCCGATTAGCACCCAAATGGATAGCAGAACCTTGGCAATGTTCATGACTGGCGACCAGCGTTCATTCAGCACATCGAGGCAAATGACTCCACGACTGTCAACGTTGCAGTGATAGATGCGCGTTATGAAACGGATTTGTGGCGGTCGGAATGGATACGCACCCGGAAAGCGTATGTCTAGCTTAAAAATGCCGCCCTCATAGGGAGTGCCGCTGGGTCCCATTATGATCGCTTTCCAATGGAACAGATCCTCCTTGTACAACTCGGCGCTGCAGTTCGGCGGCGGATTTTCAATGATTTCATTCAGTTCCCGCTTAATCCGCATTACCGGCCCGTTCAGCTGTGTCATTGGCGTTGCCGAGCCCATTCTGTTGTTGTTGTTGTTGGTGTTGGTGATGGTGGTGGTGGTGGTGGTGGTGCTGGTGGTGTGAGTGGTGCTGCTGCAGGCACCTCGCTGCTGTCCCTGACTAGTGCTGGGCGCATTCTCGTCCTTGTTCGCCTCATCGCCAGCTGGCAACGATCTGGCTGCCATCGTAGCCGACGGCTCCTCCACGGTCATCGTTTCGGTTGTGCTGCCTTTGGCTTTTTGAGGTGCCACGTTCGACAGGTTCGACATGCTTCCGGGTTTTAAAGTTAAACGGTTGTGCAATTTGGAAATTTGTTATTGGAAAAATTGTTATTGGGAATTTGCTATTGTTTTCTTGCTGTGCTCACATGATTTTAACTTACATTTCAGGAGTTTCATCGAAAATTCAACAAGAATTATATTCAAGAGCTACAAAAAGAACTCGAACTCGTTTCGATAAATTATCCCGATGCACTTAACGTATGCATCGCACAGAATCGCCAAATAGACAAAAGCGTAAATGCTAAAAAGTATGCTTTGAACACTCGGTAATCGCATTGCAGTGTGCATTAATTTTCATTTTATAAATATGTCACTAAACTAGTTGTCGTTAATCTTAAATTGTTTTAAGTTTTAGCTCTCCCGAAGCGATTGTCAATAGGCTGACAATGCGATAAGTCGTATGTACCCAGCTTATGTATAACGATAATTACATATCGCAATATTATAACCTAACAAATGTTGCTGTTAACCTACAAATATTCTAAAATTACCTATTTAAACATACATTTGAAGATAGAACAATAAAGCACGCAGTTTTGCCAAATGAGATGCTACCTTTTCAAGAGAATGTAGCGAACGCAATATTCTCCTGACAATGCCATCAAATGGCACGGATTCAAGGATCCGCCCATTCGCTGTATCGTCGTATTTTCGCTTGCTTAAGCAAGTCAAATGTTAATGAACTTAAAGAAATTAATTAAAGTGCCACACGAGCATCCACACAGCCACGTCTCATCTGCCACATGTGTGTGTGTGTGTGTGTGTGTGTGTGTGTGTGTGTGTGTGAGGATGGCTTAACGCCTGCGACGCCTTTATTGAAAATGACATCCGGTTCGGCCATCAAGCGGCGTCATTGGCCGCTGGATCGTCGCTTGTCGCAAAGTAAATGCAATAAAAGCAACACCAAAAGGGATTGGGGATTCAAGGTGTACACACAGACACACACATGGGGGCGTGGTCTGGCCTGGCCGTGCGCTGACAATATTGCAAAAACCTGTTAATTAAAAAGCAACCAACTACCAGATGCTCTGCAATTCAAACTGAGTACAGACATGTTTATTAACCCCTTATCCGGGGATTCACAACTTGTATAGTTGGCCAGGCGGGCGCTGAAGACGACGACGGCGCGCTTTAAGATTCGCCTCAATAGTCGACCAATTCGGCAGCGTTTCCACTTGGGACTTCTTGCTCCACAGTATGCCCACAGCCGCAACCAGCTCCAGTGCTATGAAGATCGCCCAAACGTTGCAGATGAGCTGCAGCCAGAGACTTTGATTGAGCAGCAGCCTGCGCAGGTACCAGAATGCGCACAACAATGGCAGACACAAGGCCAGTGTTGAGAAGAGCAACAATTTGGGTCGCAGCCCATGCGGGCTCAGGTTGAGGGTGTAGCCCACATAGATACGCAAGCTCTCGGTGATCACGGCCAATGAAAAGACCAGCAATACGGCCACTCCCAGCTGGCTCCACTGCTGCAAATTAACCAAATGTCAATATATACTCGCGGATGCTACGAGAAATTAACTACATAGATGAGCATGTAGAGCACATAGCTGACACACCACGTTGATGCTATATATAGATTGCCCTCCAATAGGATTTGCAATAAGAGATTGGAACGTATCGGCGACACAATATGCGGCATGATTTATATCTTTTCCACTTAAATTAATGCTGAAACTCAAACTGCCGTGTCCAGCACCAAGTTCTCTTGACAAACCAATTTATCGGCTTAACTTATCGAAAGCTCGCTTTCTCAAAATGTCTGTCGATAGTATCGACAAGCATGCCTTGTTGTACAGCACTGTTACTTGACAGCACTGCAGGCACTGCAGCTACAAGCTTAACTCCACAATTATGACCCTTACAAATATTACCTGGCTTTGCGCGTATTATCTGGGTTGGTCGCAAAGAATATTGTATAGTCGAAATGCCGCACACTTGTTAAGTGTATACGTGTATATATTGTCACATATGTTTCGCAGAGCATAAATATCTGCGCATGTTGAATGCTGGAGCCAATGTCCCGCGTAATACCACCTATGGACACTCATGGCCCTGAACATTCGACGGTATTGCGTAAAATTAACAAATGAGCCTGACAAACGCACATGAGCCGATGCGATGTACCCCAAAAGCCGTTTCGTCGTTTGCGTGTCAAACAGTTTCTGCACTCTCAGCTTTTATTGAATTCCATTACAGTTTCATGTCAGTCAACCGAGAGCGGCGTTCGTAACGTCATCATAAAAGGATGCTTCTGCACTGACCAACACCCAGCCCCCACCAGGACCGCCCTCTCCCCTTACGTTACTCGTTTTTATCTCCGCCTCTGTCAGCAGCCCAGGCACTTGGGCTGTTTGCCTTTTGCAGCCGCACGACCAATATAATGAAGAACAAAAAAAAAAATAAAGAGAAAAACATCATTGGACAGCCCGAGTGCCTGAAATTGACATTGTTGTCATTAATGGAAAATTGTTTTAGATGTTCTTACCATTAAGATGTCCAGACGGCTAGTCTAGTCGAACGCTTTGTGGCCTCGTGTCCGCGATGCATATTATGTAGTAAGTATATAGAAGCGAATATCTCATAGGCTGGGCCAACTTAATTAACTTTGACTAACAATTGGGACCGGGGAACATCTAGTTTTAGACATTTTCTTACACCGCATTAAATCTAGTTATGTCGATTACTCTTGGGCAAAAAGCGAACCGTTACATATCCTATCGATAGTTGGCCACTCGCAACTATCGACTATGGCAACAGTTGTAGCTAGCTGGTGCCCGATTCTTACGACTATGTGGCAACGCCATAGCTTGAATAACAGTAATTTTAATGAAATTATTTGTAGTACTCCGTTTCCGCACACTCCCTTAAAAAGAGGAAGCATTTGTTGGGCATGCTGGAATTGGTAGACTTTTGCATTGTTCCCACTGGAACTAGCCTGTACAGCGGTGACAGTAAACGGGATGCGCATCTGTTGGTGACAGCGGCAACTCGGCTAACAAATTTGCGGCTTTGAATGTTTGTGCTCACCATGCGGGTGCACCAGATTTGGCTAGTGATAATGGCAGACTATAAAGCAAGGCAGCCAGCTCCGGTCAGAATTGTATAAAGTACAAATAGAACTGTGTGTCTGGACAGACATCCGTCACAAAAACCAGACAAAGATGCTTATCCAATGTGCTTTAAGGAGTAGTTTAAGCTGCGTCTATGGAGCTGTACAAACAAATTTTTCCTAAGCACCACAACGACAACCCTTCAAATGCTAAAATTTTTTGTCTAATTATATTTATTTTGAACATTAAAAGCTAATTAAGTCAACTATAAATGGAAAGCAATATTGAATGAAGTCTTAGCTAATAAATAGTGACAAGATGTTCAATTGCAGAATCCGATTAGAATCGAAATAAACATGGCAGCGATAAGCATGAATCTTATTGAAATGTTGAACAAAGTTCAGGATATTGGAACATTTGACTAAAATATGGGTAAGTCATTTATATGGGTAAGTCATTTAGTTGTAGCCGCTGTCAGTGTTGAAAATGGCGAATGCAAATTTTAAAAAATATGTTATCGATAACAATCGGAATATGCATAACTAAGCCAAAATTATCTAGTTTCCCAGCGCGCTACCCAGTGCGTAGTTATTTAAATTAATGAACAAATATAAATTGTCTTTGGCTGCATGCGAGTATTTAATTGCCATTTTACCCACTGCATGCATGAGCCCTTTGACTGCGCTGTTAACCATGATAAATCCGTCAACTTCCGCCGGGTCTGCCGATTACAATAATGTAATGTCAATTAGAAAAGCAGCTAATTTCAAGCCCATTCGAAGTCATAGAAATGCAAATGCTTTTACAGTCGCACCAAATTTGAGCTATGGATAGACGTTGTAAGTGGAAGGGGGGGGGGGTTGGCAACAACGGTGCAAGTTAATTTCGTCAACTAAAAGAGAGAAACTTGTGCGGCTTCTTGAGTCAATCTGATGCGACACAAAAGCCGGCAACTGGCAACTGGCAACTGGTTGTTAGCTGAGCTCTGCTTAGGGCTGAGCCTGGCCAGACTCAATTAATTTAAGGGCTTTTCCCAAACTAAAAGCAACATTGCTGCGGTGCATTCGCTGCCAACTGCCAGCAGTAGACTATCGACTGCCAGCAACACGAATCCGGACTCACAACTGGCTTTGGCATTTCGCATTTGGCGGTCTTCTTGCGCAGATTTTCGGCCCAGGCAAAATTTAATTAAACTGCAAAATTGCCAAACTGGCTGAGAGCGGATGTATGTATGCGTGTGAGGGACGGTCTGGTGGACGGGGGCTGGAGCCACCAACTGCAGCCTGAAAGTTGGCATCTAAATATTATTTTACACCACGCTTTAACTGCAACTTTTGCATGCCTCATAATAATCATAATAATGCCGCGAGCAACAACTGTTTCATTAAAAGAAAAATAAAGCAAGTTAAATAGCGAGAGGGCTGCATTCAGATCATATGATGTCCTGGCCGGGGAGGAGATTGGGTGGGATGGGAGGGTGGGCGGCTGTTAACCTGCAGCGACTGGGGATTTGGGGGGTTTTTCGTCTCGGCGTATGTTGTTTTATGCGTATGATATTTTGCCAAGCAAAAGTTGTAAGGCAAAAGAAGATGTTGCAAGCAAGAAAAGGATAATTTCTTTACCACCATCCCCTAACCATCCCTCTGCCCCTCGCTGGCACTCTTAATGTTGTTGTTGTTGCTGCTGTTGCTGGCAACGCTTTTGGCGTGGGAAGCAAGGACTTGCTCTCTTTTAGTTAAATGTTTCAAAAGAAAAATTAAAAACTTTTTACAACAGCACACGCGAGCTGCCGCCACTGCCGCCGCTGCTGTTGCTACTTCATCTTCATAATATGCTGCAAGCTGTGGACGGGGCACGAGCGGAGGCTGTTGCAAGTGCAAGTGAAAAAAGTTAAGCGGCCAAAGCAGCCCAAAGATTACGTCGCCCACACACCCAGACACACACACACAACCGGCACTCCAAAGACATGTTCCACATGCGACTTAATCTTCACAACAAAAATGGGGGAGGAAAAAACAGAAAACAGCTTCTGGACTCGGCTGCATGTGGCACATGCCACACCACAATAACAAAAGAGCCGCGTGTTTATGCTTCAGGTGCGCTAAGATAAGTTGTCAAGTTCTTGGGCACACTTAAGCCCAAAGATTAACAATCTTCACTCCACTGAGAGCTGTGCTGTATATAAAATGGATATCTGTTTAATGCTGTGCTGGCCTTTGCCTGACTTTGTGAAATTGTGTCAATTAATTTTAAATCATATGAACTATTTTAGTTTACTTTTACCAATAAGTGTAAAATTCTTGATCTATGTATACTATACGATAATCTACATACCAAAATTTGCCTCTCCAGATCTTAAAGGCCCCAATATGTGCTTAAGAAGGTTGAATTTGTAATCGATTCTTATCGATTTCGCGTTCCAAATTTCTGGCGGACAGATGAACATGCCTACCTTGTAAAGGTTATTCCAAACTTCAGTCTAGTTCGAAGAGGATGTCCAATGCCAAAGGGAACTCTATAAAAAATGTTAGTTCATTTCGAGTGCTTACATAAGATACTTCGACACAATCCATTCACAAGAGCGACATAGTTTATTTAATATATTCGTTTTTTTTTTTTTTAATGAATATCTTTAGTTCGGCATCCACTTAGATTCCATTCAACTTTGGACTAGTTTGTGCCCATTTGGAGTGCCAAACAATTGTTGATCCATTTCAATGAATTATTTATGGCCACATTTGTCGAACCGACGATTTCTTTTACATAGACAATTTTGTTTAGAGCCGCTTTAAGGCTGTCCACCGTGCCCTGAACCGCCCCGCACCACCTCACTCTACCTCATCCCGCGCTGCCATACAGCGTCTTCACCTTTTGCACAGTTGGGCACATGCGGTGAACAGTGTGCAAAGTGTGGATGGGGGCTAAATGGAAAAAACAAGAAAAATTAGTAGAAAAAGACAAAAATAAAAGGCAAATAGAAGGAAAAGAAAGTAAACTTGTAGCAACTTTTTTATGCCTTTGTATAAGTTATCTTAATTTTATCATGCATTGTGTAACACATAAGGGATATACATTCTTGATCAACATTAGCAACCGAAGCGATATTTGCATGGCTCTGGCATTACATATGCATGTCAAAGCTGCCCGGATCGAAACACTATATCATATGCTTGCGATAAGCATGATCGCTCGTTAATGAAGCTCCTATCTGTTTCTCTAGATATCTTGAGCAAACTTATCGCTACCGAGCTCGACTTATGAGCATGGTCTTATCAGGATCGGACTACTGTAGCATACGGAAAGAAGAAGTCGATAAATAAGTTTGTTGCGTTTTTTAAACTCAGCAATGACGAGCTTCTCAATTCTGGCCATATAACTACACGCCATCAAGGGTATTTAAATTTCGTTCTGGCTGAGATATGAACTCCTCCTTATTTTTGTCTCATACATTTCTGCTCAGCTGCCTTGGCTGCGAGTTGACTGGCAAGTCTTGTCCTTGTCTCGGCATGTGTACACACGCCATCCAGATCCGGATGCGCCCGCTTCAGTTGCCCCCCCACCCCCTCCATATCCTAGCCGGCCATGTTGCTGCTGTTGCAGCAGGGCTCTCGTAACTTTTGCTAGTGCGGCGACATCTGCCAATGTTTTGAACATTGCAATACACACACACACACTCACACACACACAGGGAGGGACAGAGAGTTGGGCACGGGGGTGGGGGTGGGGTACTGAGATACGGGGACATGCGAGCCAAGTGTCTTTGCCGAATGTGTCGCACACGCAAAAGGACAAACTCCTTGGCAAAATAATGAAAAAGTAACTGAAAGTCGTATTTGTATTTTCCTTCAGCATCAGCGTCAGCTTCGTTGCCGTCTCGTTGTAGCATGCTACCAGCTATAGACCGGCTCACCTTCCCCACTCAGCATCCGTCGCCTCAAAGTCGAACTCTTCCATCATGTAAGGCTAGGAGAAAGTCGAAGGCAGCCTGTGGAAATTGGTGCGAGTAATTGGTTTGTTAGAACAAAACTTATAGCAAGGCAAATGGCAAATGCCCCAACCCCTCCCCCTAGCCAGCTGGACATGGGCAAAGTTTTTTTTCTTTGAGTATGTTGGCGACACGGGGGGGCACTCACCTGCGGCAGGGGCAACGGGCTGCAGCGGCAACAACCTAATAATAATCTGCATGTGCATGCCAGCCGAAAACTTAAAAGCATGTCACAGAGTTTTCAGCTTACAGATTTCGATGCTGCACAACTTTGCTTGGCATCCAACCGCACACACACACACACACACACAGACACACACACGCACACTCGCATCCTTGGACCTCAACATGGGCGAGGCGGCGCCCAAGCCGAAGAGATACACGTGTAGCATGTCAGTGACATGTAGAAGCTGCTCCGGCTCCAGTTTGCCCAGCTTTGGATTCAACTTCCAGCCAAGGCACAAAGGTTAAAAAGCAATTTTTCGAAATGTCAGCGCACAAAATTTCATTACAAATTTTTATTTGCCTCTTGCGTTTTTGCGCACTTTTTGGACAGTGTGCATGTGTGTGTGTGTGTATGCGCGTGTATATGTGTGTCTGTGTGTGTGTGTGTGTTGCAACTATTGTTGTTATTTTGGATGCTGATGCGATTATAGCTATTTTATGGCTAGAAAATATTATTAAAAGAAAATAGCTCTCATCCTGATTTAAAGTAAAAAGAACGCGTTGGGACAGAATCAAAGGAGGATGCTCCGTCTTTGATTTTAACATTTGTCATTTGTTTCCCTTAACAAATGAATTGCAGAAAGTATTTCATCAATCTATTGAATGTGATCAACTATAACTGAGTACATCTAATTCAGATTTTACACTGTAGATTGGTCTAAGAAAAGAACCAGAAAAAACCAGTGAGAGATTTATCGTATGCAAAAATAGGCGATGTGCTTAGTTATTAGTCCTAATCAATGTATTGATACCTCAATTAAATACTATATATTTTATATTCTTTGAATATTTTTTAGCACTTTCCAGCCTTGTAAAACAAGCTTGTTTAGCAGCACTGGCTGCGACCAGTTCACAATAAGAACAAAGATGATCATGAGAGCGGGCAAGGACCAGCAACAGTTGCTGTTGTTGTTTTTGTTGGACGTATTATTATTATTTTGTGCTCAACTTCTATTTCCGTTTCTACTTTGCATCGTCCACATTCAGTGTTCAGTGCTGATAAACGTCACCTTTTAGCAGTGTTGGCGAATCACAAAGGAGTATTCAAAGTAAAACAATGATAATTGAGGGTAATGAATAATCTTAAATGTATTATGCATTCGCATATCCGAATACCGAATGCATCAACAATCGTTAGCCAACACTGCAATAAATTCGTCGTTCTTTTCAATTATCGCTGCTTTTAATCGCAATTGACACAAAGGGGGAAGCTGGGCCGCTGGAGTTCACAAGATTCAATTGAAAATAAGGAATATATTTAGCATAAACATCCGCAACGGTAACATTCTTTTGCCTAAACTTTATAATCGATTGCTGAGTACAGATACATATACATATTGAAGCTCGCTTTGAGGGCATTCCGTGGTAAATGAAACGCAAAAACTTCGTGCTCTTCTTCTGCGTGGGCAGCGCTCATTCAGAACATCTAATTTATTATTATTAATAACAATAATACGCATATGCATATGCAAAGTACTCGACAGCACAATGGGCGGTACGTGGCGAGGACCAATAGCCATGGCCATAGCATCCTTCGGCTCTGACTGCAGTCGAAATCAACGTTTAAAAAGGATTTGCCATGCTAAATATTTTCAAAAGCCTTAAGCTATTCAAAAATTACATCACTCGAGTAAATATGAAAACCTTGAGAGTCGAGTTGAACAAGGACCAAGGACCAGGGACCAGAGCCACACCGACTACATTGGACGGCCATGAACACAAGCCCGGACAACTGAGGCCCTCAAGATGCCAGCCAGCGCTGCCGGCCAACTGGGCAGCCGCAGCCCCACGATTAATGGCAACGAAGAATGTAATGTAGCGAATATGCGAGTTGCCGTACTGATTTCAAATGGATATACAAGTATGTGTATTAGTGTGTGAGTGTGTGTGTGTGTGTGTGTGTGTGGGCGGCAAACAAAACAAAGGCCCCAAGTTGTTATCCGCCAGCTGAAGCAAAAACAACAAAACGTGTAGCTGCTGCCTTCAGCGGACGGGAGCGGTTCAATGGTCGACCGCTGGCAAGCGCTTGCTTGATTTAACCATGCATTGGGCCGAGGACTGAGCGCGGAGATGCTGTAGTTGGCGCTGGCGGCAGGAAGTGGAAACTGTAGAAGGAATTGGGGTAAAACTGCGGTCGCCTACCCCGGGCCACAGCACGGTCCTCGACATCATCGAGAAATGAAAACAACTCAAGCGAAAATACAATCATATTTTTATTGCCGGCTGGTTGGTTGGTTGGCTGGCTGGCTGGCTGGCGGGCGGGCGGTCTGCCTGGCTGGCTGCATGTCGAGGGCAACTGTGTCGAGTGTTGGCCGGTTTGGGGACGGAAGGGTCGTCGTCAACCAATTCTCGTTTGCTCGCTCGTTTAGTCGATTATTCTTGGAGGCGTTTTTCTTAATAGCAACAAGAACAAACGACAGCAACAATGGCAACAATAACAGTCACTGGCGCCGCCAACTGAAATGAATTAAAACTGAATCAAAACATCTGGACGCACGACCATGAGACAACATAAACAGCAGCCGGACCAGGAACCCAGGACCCCCGAGCCCGCAACCCGGACAAAGGAGCACTCCACGCTCCATTGGCACTACTTATTTTGACGGTCTGCACTCCAAGCATCTAAACAGAAACAAAATGATACTCCAAAGATGGCAACCACTGTGCGCAGTGTGACATGGCAATGCAAGTTAAATTCTCAGACTATTGATTAAATGATTAATGAAAATACATATGTATATTTATATATAATGCTTTATAGACAATCGCTCCACAGGGACACTGTTGCCATTGCTGCTGATGATTGTTCGGAAACCAGCTGAACTGTCAATACGATTAAACAGGAGCCAATTAGGGACGCAGACACTTGTTGTCAACTACACCCAGTCATTGACCTGATGATTATGCCACTGCATTCGCTAGACAATTGCAAGTAAGCAGCAGGGCAACTTGGATCATTAAACTATACTTATAAATATCCAAATGGCTTCACAGCTGTCATTTGCATTGAATAAGGAGTCTGATGGCCTCCTGGGCTGAGCAGGTCTCAGCATGATTATAGCTGGTGGACACTTATCTAATATATGCCCTGGAAAGTGATCCCTCTCAAGGCAGAGTCTCCACAATTTTTGAGTTTGTTAAAAAACCTTTGTTAATTTTTTCAGACATTCATCAGTTGGTTTATTGTATAAATAGCCCCGATTTGTACTGAGAGACAACGCAGAATGTACTCTCTACCCATGCATCAATGCACTTAATTCTGTTATGAAGCTAAACTTTTCAGATTTCAAGAGCCGCTTATATACTCAAATTAAAAATGCAATAAAACTACGAACAACTCAATAAAAGTTAAGTAAAATTGATTTTTTCACAAATGACCCAAAGGAAACAAATTTGAATATTCAACATGGAGGGAATACAAAAAATGACTTCGTTTCAGAGTGTCAGCCGTTGCTTATTGGCTAATACACTGTTTAAGCCAAAATACTTGAGACATATCTACTTGCCGGCAGTTCTTTGAAATCCAAAGTTAAGAAATATATGCATACAAATAATAAAACTATCAACGCGGCTGGGCGCACTTCAGCAACATCAGCATCTGTTGCCTCTGCGCCCCAGCCAGGTTGCAAGAGGGTTGGGCAGAAAAGCAAAAAAAAAAAAAAACAAATAAATAAAATAATAAGATTTCTTCGGCACACCGAAACTTAAATACCCTTTTAGGCGTGCGGCTGAGAAGTGCTGCTATACAGAAGCTGTCATTCCGACCCATGAGTCCTACAAGACTTCAATTTGATATGGTCTGCCAGATATGTGGTAATTGCTGAGAATAGTCAAGATACCCTGGAAAACCAAACAGCTAGTTTTTCAATCGATTCTTCATAAGGAGCATATTGAAGTTTATAATGATAGCTTTGGTCTGGTTATGTTGCAAAATAAATAGGTTTCTCATAAAGAGCTGATCTGTTTTGGCAACTGTTTTGGATATGCAGTCGAATCCAAGTTTCTTGCTGAAAGCCAAGCTGGCATAGAAATAGACAGTACAAGAATATATTTAAGTTATGTTTCTATGCTGCACAGCTTTAGCAACAAAACTCGAATACCCTCTACGCAAGGGTAAAAAACGAAGAAAATATAAGAAAAACAAAAGGCATAAAGGATATGCAAGCCAAGCAATTTGCATTTGCGCACCGCAAACGGTGAAGCAAAACTTGAAACACAGCAGACGACAACAGCAAGAACAACAACAATAACAGCAGCAGCAGCCACAACAAAATGCTTTAGAAATATGCTAAATTACCAAAAGACAAAAAAATAATAGAAAACACACACCCACACACCCACACATACTGTTTATGTATTTGTGCATGCCAACTTGTCGGACGATGGGCGGAGGGGGCGTTGATGGGGGGTAAAGTACTTTCAAGAAGTTGCCGAAAGTCGAGAACGCAAGCAAAGACAAAAACCAGTGTGGAATAACGAGAGGCTGGGAAGATGCGCTGCAGCACCTGTGCGACTGGGTGGCAACGCCGGCCCCATAGACTATACGCCGGACAACAGTTCGTCTTGGCCGTGTCAAGGTAGCAGCGATAGTTAAATAAGCCAACCCGTGAGCCAGAAAGAGTTGGATAAACCGTAGATGGGTGTAGGGCCAGGGTCAGAGAGATGGGCTATGCCTGAAAACTTGAAGTATGCTGGTTATTGTGTGCTGTTATTGAAAATAGTTGTACAATTTATAGAGTGCCCACTGTGGTCATGGACAAAGGTCAGAATCAGATTCAAATTCAACAGATAAATTCAGAGTGGGAGAGAGTTTGAGAGGGGGAGGGGGGGGAGACAGCATTTGCACTTTGCATGACAAAGGCCACATTGCCTTCCACCCAGTCCCATGCCCACCCCCTTCCGCCGTTCAATTTGTCAGTTGAAATGTCTGCTCAAGATGCTCCATCCGCAACAACAAAAAGAAGAAGAACAACAACAACGCAAATCTAGTAAGCAGCTTTGTCGTCTTACAAACATTTGCTTACATTTCCACAGCCACAAACAAATCACAGACAAATTTACTCAAAGGTGAGTTTACCTATGCAGCGATAACCGGCGCATTCTAGAGTTTGGTGTGCAATCAAATGAATAAACATGCATAGAATATGCAGCTATGCTAATTCATAATATTATACCTGAAGCAACTATATATTGTTACAGCTTAATTGATGTGACAGTTCGAATTTGCTAGGCAGTAATTGAGGTGCAGTGCTGCCACCTTGACTTTCTGCAGCTCACAGTGTTGAGTAGGCACAAATTTACAGCTACATAATTTCAATTAGAAAATATATTTTTGAGAAGGTGCTGATAGATTAATTTTTAAATGTTGTTAGAGTGTTTGCTAACTTTAAAGTAGCTCAAAAAACATTTACGCATTATCATAATACGACTCAAAGCTAACGAACTCTGTTCCAAAGGTCTTAACCGTGTAACTCATTTAGGAATTGGGTAAGCGTTGTGCGGCTGTTGTTTATGGTGGATCATGCTGCAGCCTGTTTCGAAAATCAAAAAGAAAAAAAGTACAAAATTGCATGAATTCGTAATGAAAACTACTGTCAGTTCGTATTACAGAACTTTCCATCATTGCCAGCACACAAGCACACACAAACACACAGATACACATATACACAGACACACATACACATAGAAAAGCGAAAACCCGCGATGCCGCAACCGTTGCTAAAGAAACAAGGATACAGGGACTTAAGGGCCAGGTTTGAGTTGGGTGCACACTGGCGTCTGGTAAATCCATTGGGGATATTTCCGCATGCACAGCGTGCATTCCATATACATGTATGTATGTATATCCCCGGTTATTCGAGTATGTAAGTATGCTCGAATAGGTGTATTCTATTTTGCGATTGAGCTGTCCAAATGCGCCTTTTAATGTAATCTCTTACGGATTTGTTTTGACAAGCGCCATTCTCTTGCCTCTCCAAGTGTGTGTGTGCGAGTGTGTCTGCGAGTGTGTATGTGATTCTGCTTCCACCAAGCGAGACTTTTTTTTTTGTTTCAGTATTGCGCGCAGTTATGGTTTATGGGGTTGCTTAGGTATATACATATATACGTACACATATTATTTGGTTGCCGCTCATGTTTCATCATAAATATTCGATTACTCAAGCGTATCTAATTTGTTATATTATATTTTTATATAACTGCTTTTTTTTTCCATTTTATTAAACCTATGCAATACGTAAGATTGAAGAGGGTCGTTGCGAGTTATGAACATACTGAAACGAGCTTGTCAAGCTCAGACCTATTACGTTAAATCTTTTTCTTAATATAGAAATTATACAAAAAACCCTGGTGCTCAATAAAACACACAAATTTCCATTGCTGAAGCTTTAAGCTGTCGATCGAAATTGATTGAAATTTCGCAGCTCTAAGCCCAACGGCAATGTTGTAGTCCTGAAAATATCATTTGCTCAGATCCTCAGATACCTTGATTGCTTTATATATCGATACAAATAGAGTTCGATTGGATTTGAAATAACTGCCAAAAATGCATCTTATTTTGATTCGAATCTAATGCGGTTTGTTTTGATTGTGCTTTATACTCTAGACAATTTGGTTATATATATTTTTTAACATTTTTGACCTGAACTTCTTCCTAGAAACACATATGAATGTTCGTTTTAAGCAATAGGCTTGACTGTTTAACTCAACACGTCGCAGGCACTTGGCACGTACTTTTACAGCCGTATTCAACACTCCGCCCTCACTCATATACAACACTGGCGGGCGCCCTCCGCCTCTCTCGCTCTCCCGCCAACTCATTTGTGGAGCCAACTATGATATGTAAATATTGGGGTAGCGCCAAGTGGATTTTTCCCATAGGAAAATAACTGAACGCTACGCCATACAGAGGCGCTGATGCGAATGCGAATCTAGATGGGGCTGGGGCTGGGGTGGGCTGAGGGCCTGCGGTTGCAGCTGCAACTGGAAAGCCTGCTGACTCTGAGCAAACTCCACTTTGGCACTGGCAATGCGATTTACATATTACTAGGAGAGTCTGCTTTGAATAAACTCACTCGCTCGCACGGCCCCTGCACCTCTTGGCACTCTATACTCTACACTCTCTAGCTGCCTCCCACTCGCACACTTTCTAACTATGTATTTGCCGTCTCTTTTTGCTGTGAATATGTAACTGTGTGAGCGTGTGTGTGTGTGTGTGTGCAGTTTTTAAATTTGCAAACATGAGCATGTAAATTTGCAATGAATAAATTAACCAGAATCTGTACCGCTCATCCGTATGTTTCAGCCGGCAACTGCCATGCCTGCCGTCTGTGTGTGTGTGTGTGTGTGTGCGTGAGGCGTTTGCTTTGCGCCGTTACTCAACACTTTCGCTATTTATTTAAAATAAATTGGCAGCACTGCTGCAAGTGAGGTTAGGGCAAGCGCCTTAAAGTCAAGTTGAAATACAAGTGCGCTCCGTTTTAATCACTTTTTATTATGCCTGTCCTTGGGACGTCCCAAACTAGAAGAAATCACTCAGCCTCAGGCGCGCCGCTGTCTGCCAGACCATTGCCCAACCTCCCCCCCCCCCCTCCCATTTCGCTCTCTGCCCCTCTCTCTATGTGACTCTGCTGTTGTTGTTGTTGTTGTGGCGAAAAACAATCACGTGGCGCTAGATAGACAGGCCTGGCAGGCTGAAAACAACTCTTTTTCGCAACATCAACAATAAAAAAAGGAAAAAGAGAAAAAAGAGTAAGGCTGGAGATGAAGACAGGCGGCCACAGATCCAGATGGAAAAAGCGTCAACAGCAGCCACGGCGACAACGACGACAGCTCCAGCTGCAGCGCCAGCTCCAGCTCCAGCGCGCCAGGACGACTTAACAGAGAGGAATGCTGGATAAACTTCTAGCCAGCCGCAACGACAGCCAGCGCCAGAGATGTCGACGAGCGCCGAACAGGACGACAGCAACAAAGCAGCAGCAGCAGCAGCAGCAGCAGCATCGGCAGCAGCAGGACAAAAACAAAGTGCAAAACAAAAAGAGAAGAAGCAGACGGTTTGGGGGGTAAAAAAATGAAGTAGGGAAAAGAAACGAACACAACGAGCCGAGAAAACTCAATTAAACTTTTGTAATTACAGCTAAAACGGAAGAAGATATTTATCCAGTATAATTGCATTGAAGGCAAATGAAATAAAAGTATAAAAAAAAAATGTGGAACCAAAACGCAGGCAAGAAAATATATAAATAAAGGATGCCGGGAGACAAAAACACGACAACTCTGGTCGCCAGGTAAACGCCAACGCCAACGCCAACGCCTAGCCCCGGCATCGGCAACCAGTTAGCCGGGTCTCTGGTCAAGCAGCCCGGCAAGCGCCACTTGACACATCGGCAAACGGAAAGGCACACAGAGTGCGAGTTTTTCCCATCGTTGTCCACATCTCCACCCGGTCATCCCCTTTGGTCTGATTATGGCGTTGCATTGTGGAGCTTCCGTTTGGCTAGTTTCTGGCTATGCTACTGGCAACCCTTAAGTGTAATCCAAAACAATGCATCAAATCGGATGCAACAGATCGCTGTGAAAGATGAGAACACGCCCTTATAGTTATGGGTTGCACAGGAAGCGAGAGAGCTTAGCGCGGCTAACCGAAGCGAGTAGCGACAATTTATTGTTGCTTATCGACCGGAAGCGGGAGAAGCTTAGCGAGCATTGTCGCTTATCGCGTTTCGCATTCGCATCGTTTCTAAGCGCTTACCAAATAAAATGCGTTTCATTCCATTGTGGCTTGTGCAAGGTTGAAAGTATTAACATTAGTATATTACATTAGATTGATTGATGATCGATTGACGATTAAATTGTTTGCTTGAATGAATGCTAATGTTATACAAACACTTATTATTGTGCATTCGATTGATTGTCAATCAATTGATTTATTGAAGTTGACGTGTGACCTTGATTGATCGATTGATAATTAGTTTGTGGCGTTTGCTTGAAATAATGTTTAAACTATCCAAATGCTTTTAAAATATGGTACAAATAATTATATATCACACAATTGTATTAACGATTGATTGATTGATGCGCGGATTATGCAGCGTTTGCTTGAGAGAATGCTCGTGTTTTATTGTTTTTGCTCAATTTTTGATCCATCGTTCCGTTTTGATTTGTCGACCAATCACTTACCAATAGTGTTGAAACTAAAAGTCTATCCAGCCACGATTAATTGCCACTGCATAATATTGAAAAGGTTTTTGTAAGTACCGAAAACGTGATCAAATTAAATGTGTTTCATTCCCAGGTATCACACTATAAACTTGCACACTAAAAGAGCTGCGTTAGATTTCCGTCGTGTTGCTGACACTTAGTTCATATTCATTAAATAGGACTCGATTGTCGCTATGTCCAGGCGCCTGAAGCCAGTCTTATCGATTATGCCAATTTCGAAATGCTGGGCCGGCAATGACTGCTCGTCACCCATCCTGATTGCCTGAATGGCCAGATATACGGCGGCTTCCATAGTAAGTCTCGGAGCATAGTGGCGTTCCAGAAATTCCATGCGTTGCTCTGCATCTTTGCCGACGGCACAGGCTCTAAAGGGCAGAAGCGAACCAGCGGCATCCAAGCGAAAGAGACGTGCACGCCCCCTCTCCCAGCCGCCTAGCAGGACGGATAGTCCGAATGGACGGACCCCGCAGGATTGGGTGAACTCCTGCATGGTGTTGGAAACGGCCATCGCCATGCCGTCGACAGGCACAATACCCGAATGGACCAAGCTGTATGCGGCGCACGTCTTTTGGGCCATCTTTGAGAGTATGCGAAAATCTGGAGCCATGCCGGAATAGGCCATCGCCATATGCGAGCTTATCTTCTCTAGCTTCTTGACAGTACGTCCGATCGTAAGCTTTGAGTCGATTCTCTTTTCTGTGGCCAAAACGAGTCCGTTCTTCGTTATGATCCCCACAGTTGGCGCACCCTTCGACCCACAATTATTGGCATACTCCACCTGCTTCAGCTCGCCAGCCGGATTGAATGTGGTTAGCGAGAAGTTATAACGATTTACACTCATCTCGAAAGAGCGCCTCAGTCACAATATGGAACAAATTATATATATACATATATATAAAATTTATCAAAATAAAAAAAAACCCACGACTTTCGAGTGTGCTGGAAAAGTTGTACTGATTGTACCGAGTTTCCTAAGAGTACTGAACTATTGTAGTTGTAAAAAGTGAAGGCCTCAATAGGTTAGTCGATGCCCACTTTGATTAACAGTTTCCTATTTTTCACATTCATAATACTCCATTATGAAGATATGCAGATATGTTTACGCTTGGACTCTCGTACTGATATGTATAGTATTTTTTGGATTCCGCTCGGTCTCTCCAAAAGGATTTCGCATTTTGGTATATATACTTAAAAAGGATCAGATTATAAGCCCTTAAGTTATTCTAGAATATTATACTATAAATATCTATAAGCCTTTTCGCTTCGTTTTGTGACTAGACTACGACTAGAGTACTACTACTTTTTTTATAATGAGGCGGAACCAGTTAATAATCAACCGCGAGCCGGTTCACACAGTTAAACAATTGATTGAGCCGGTGCCTGAATAAACCGACTCCAGCCCTATCCATCATCAAAAATTAATCTCGCTGGAAAATATGCTATACAATTATAAAACAGCTCTTGATTAGTCAACTCTCTGAACTGGCAGTCAAATGTAACAAGTGCAACCGGATTTGGAGTGCTTACCCCCACTTGACGTGTGAATTGTTTTTGACCTTTGTCAAAAATGATTCGTTCGTTCGTTCGTTCGTTTATCCAAATTGTCGCTCTGTTTGTCCGTTGATGAAGACATTAATTTGATGCAAATCGCGTCAACCCGAACACAATCGAAGTGCTAATTGCGCTTCTATCAATGCACGGAACGAGTACCAGCCCGCACCCCACGCACCCCGCACATCCTGCTCATATCTGAACACTGAACCAGGACCCACCACAATGCGCGCTAACAAACAGTCAGCCAATCGCCACCAGCCCCAAAATGGCAGCAACAGTAGCTTCATTATCAACATCATCAACATCAACATGCTCATCATCGTCGTCGTCATCGTCATTATGTGGAACAGGAACTGGTACAGGTAAATGCAACAGGCGTGGAGCCAGCGGGTAGCTAGCTACAGTTCTGGTTCACTTCATTATGTATGCGCGACACAGACAATGGGCCACTGATGGACGTGCTGCAGCAGCAGCAGCAGCAGCAGCAGCGGCAGTAGAAATGGCATCAACATTCGTCCCTGGCCACCGCAAACATAGACGTTGCATGCCCCACAAATGCCCGAACCCTTGCCGAATCTGAGCTGTGACTCGAACCCTCGCCCTCAATGTATAAAATGTTTTGTAAATCTGAAACGCTTGTCTGTGGCATGCACATGCTGTGTGTGTGGCAGCTGTGTGCTGTGTGTGCCTCGGCCAACACCTTGCCACCTAAGCTGATGTGCAATGGAGTCAAATTGCGGAACATGTGGCGCCAGTTTATCTATTTGGCCGCCTGACCAGCTTGTTAAGTTTTTGTTGGAGAGTCCGCTCTGCGCTTGCAGCCCCCCAGCCTCCTCTTGAAGTTTAAGGACCGTCCAACCACAAATCGAAACCGGACTGCCCAAATGAATACCTTCAGCAGCTGCAACAGCTACTGGAGACACAGTCCAGCTGCCGGCGTCACAGGTGCTCTAGTTGGTCATCCAAAGATGTTGCCCAAATGGCCAGCTGCTCCGATTACGACACAGTGTCCAAGTCCTGTGCCACACGACGCACTCCAGTGGCAAAGCTAGCCGTGAAGCTTGTAATTTTATGTGGTCATGTGGCCATAAACGCCCATTTGTGCACTTCATTTATCGGTACTGGCAACGGCAGATTGGATTTGTAAACGCAATTTTGCGTTAACATGGCATTAATTTAATGCAATATTCCTATGCTGCTTTTAGGCTGGACCGTATCCGTTGGCTTAACCTAAAGCTCTGCATTTGTTTCTGACAGCTTTTTCAAAATATACAAGTGCAAAAGCTCGAAAGATCGATCTGGCGCTCCAGCTGCAAGTTTAAGCAGAACGTCAATCAAAACAAAAGGAGCTTTTGCAGCACATAACATATTGCTTAAGAGTTTATTATAATACTAATTTGAGCAAAAGCTCAGCATGTATGTAAAAGCATAAAACAGGTCCAGCCTAAAAGCGAACACCACCCTCCCAAACCATATTATAATTTATACTATGCAGTATTTTATGCATTCTTATATTATAGATTTAAGTGCACACACATTAAGGACGTTAGGACAGCATTATGAAAGCGCAACTCTATTAAAATACTTTTTGTTTTCGCAATGCGCATTTTATAAGCTTTTTGCATGGCGGCGGGAGCAGTGAAAATAAAACAAAATGGCGGCCGAAAGTGCCAAGTTTAACGCATATTCGAACTTAACGGTCCCGGCGAATGTTTTCATAAACGACCATCGGCGATTTATGTGCATCCCCCAAGGCGTTGCGGCAGCAGGAGCAGAATGTGCGGCAACTCATTAAGTTCCATGTACTGTCTCTGCTGGCCATCAAAGTCGATTACCTAGAAAATGCCCAAAACGCCACAATGCCAATCGATTAAGTTGCATAGGGCCACCCACGAGTCGGGAACTCTGAACTCAGAACATGTTGCCCTGCACAGTGCTTTGAGGAAACAAGTTAAATAAAACTGGGGCCAAACTGGTTGAGAACTACAAACAGCGATCAGATCGTTGATATCGATTGCTGTTATCGATATATTTTACTTGAAATATCTGTCAGACTTGAAGTTTAATTTCTTGTATATCTAAGCCCATGAAAGGATATGAAAATATGTCTAAAAACCCATAACATTAGGCATATAAAAATATATAATTTATAATTATATATTGATTGAATATATTATATCCAATTCTATTTTCTGGTTGGATAAAAACGCAATTATATATCGATTAATTATTGCAATTTAGGTTTTAATTGGAATAAATGCAATATATTCACTGACATTGATTGGAGATATGATTTTCGTTCCATTCCACCATATGTTCGAAGCACTGTGCGGTCGGTTCACAGGCGACTGGTACAGTTGGACTTTGGACGCAACGATTCATTGTCAAATTACATTTACAGCCCGGGCACATAGGGCGTCTGTGTTTTGACAGCTGCTCTTGGCTATTGACATTCGCTACTTGGCAGCCAACACTCGCAGACACACACACACACACACACACACACACACACACACACACACACACACACACACACTACAATGCAACGTTATGGTCAGCCCAATGACAGCTATGGAGCAGTACTTAGTCCATGTTGCTTTTACTACAGACCATCTTCTCTAACCTTCTATCTCTGACTGCCAGTGTGTGCTCATAAACGGCATGTTTAGGAGCCAATGAGCTGCGTTTTTATGGCACCCACCCACACACACACACATACACACACCCACACACAGTTGGCTATTGGAGTATGTGTCAAAGTTAATTTTCGGCCCAGTCTTTATGAAGTGCCACACATTTTGCGTATAGGCAACTGCTGAGTGCCGCTTGGGGCACTGACAATGTTGCCACACAGCGACAACATTAACTGTCATCTCAGTTGGCCCAGTAATTGCAAAAGGTAGCTGAATTGAAAGACTGCATTAGCCAAGTACCTGTTACCAAATTGATTTTTAATTTGCAATGCATGCGGCCCCCAGTCCTCGCTTCGGTTTCTCAGAGTTCGAAGCGAATTGCACGAAAATCAACTTTCGGGCATCCCCAGCATGATTTTTTTCAGTCGAGAGTGCACCTAAGATGGAAAATTAGATCCGCCTGTGGGGAAAAATGTGAACAAAGTTTCATATTAAAGATTACATCAAGAGGTGACTTAGTGACTTAGGTGTTTGAGCGTCAGACTAGCAAACGACTCGCCGGTTCAAACTCAGCAGCAATTGTCAATTTTAGTATTTTGTTTGATATTATTATATATACAAAGAAAATGGCAATGATATTAAATTGAAAAACGACAAAGAAATCAAGAGGAATATTGCAGTTGGATGCAACAGACCGCGCGATACTCTGCACAAAGTTGAAATACTTGTGCCTGCAAGGCTGTAAACTGTAAACTGTAAACTGGGAGCTGTGGCTCTTAAATTGTGAACTAAGAAAATTTGATCTACGCCATTTTGTGAGCACGAGACGGGTCGTGTGGGGGAGAAGGGCATTGATAGATAATTTGTGAACATTTGTGTATAGGTGAACAAAAGTAAGAGATTGCGTTAAATCTCTTGAGTAGGAAAGCGTATAGGGAGATAAAAGCCCAGAGCTGAGGCTCATGGAGAATGTCTACTGGGTATCGCCGAGTCGAGCACTCCTTTCTTTTGGTGCTCAATTTGCTCGAGCTGGTGATTGTAAAGTAATCAATGTCTTGATTAAATTGCCATTTAATCCTTTTTTCTTGTTCTTACATTGAACTATTGACTTCGCCTCCAACCATTCCAACCGTCCCATTCGTATAACCTTTCTTGAGCCAACCTCTTAAGAGTCAACTAAGCAATTTCATCATAATTCATAGAAAAGCTGTTGCAATATTTTCATTTAAAACAGCTAAATGAGGGAAGGGTGAGGGTCGCCTTTCTATGGGCAGTCCTTCAAGTTACTTAACAGCTGGCTAACTCTCTCTGAATGCCTTTTTGGCTGCAACAATAAGAAAAGTGAACGCTGCAGCCATTTAATGGCAACTGGCTAAAAGAAGCCGCATAAAATGAGCTACAAAGGCACAAAAGGCCAGAATGTCGACAATGTCCTGACCCCATTACGGTTATTCCACTTGCTATACCTGTGCGTATGTGTGTGTGTGTGTGCATGTATGTGTGTGTTGTGTCCGGCACCTCCGAGAGTCCTGTGGCCTTTGTGTCACCACCGTCATCATCAGCATCGATGCCGAGGTCCGAGCTCACGTTGTGCGTTCCAATAATAAAAATCACTTTTATTGCTCAATATATTCTAATTACGGTAATTCTCTCACATAAACGTAACAAACTTGACTAATTTTCAAGCTAGAGCAGCAACAGCAGCAGCCGAAAGGAAACTATCGAAGCAGGAAACAGGAAACGCCACTGCGGCCACTCGATTCAACTTTGTGGCCCCTTTCCAGGTGCGTGTTAATTCATGAACTGCGCTGCCTTGATAAAGTGTAATTATTCTATGAATATCGAAAAAGTGTGCTGCCTTGCGGTCAGGTGGCAACCCCGGCAGCGACAAATGGCAACGCGAACAACCCGTAAGGCACGAACTCAACTAACGGTCTATGTGATTTTATGGTAATTTGACTGTAATGAAAACTAATAGCAATTGATTGTACGACGTGAATAGCCCTTTCAGTTGGTGTCTTGCCCTGTCTGTCTTGGCCTGTCTGCTACCACAGTCCCACTCCACTCCCTTCCGTTCCGCTCCTATCCCTACCATTCCGTTTCCTTGTGTGTGTGTAGCTCGTTCTTGACCCTCAATATTATAAGGCCAGCGATTGCTGCCATATATGAACACACTGGCAAATGGAATTTGTCGATGTCTTCGTAAACATCGAAACTGACACCTGATAATCGGTATATATTGTATCAGACAGTGCCAGCCAGCAGTATAATAACACTCGCTTTCCCTTGCTCGAGCACTTCTCCTTCTCCATGTATATACGTATTTACATTATTTTCATTGTGTTTGTTTTCAAGCTAAATAAACACACTCGCCGATCTGTACATACATATATACAATAATAAGATACAGATATCAACGATCCTGAAGCTAAAAGATATTGACAGAAATATTGTTCTTCAGATAATAACTGAACTGGTTGCTTAAAGATTAAATAATATAGAGGAATATGTTGGGATAGTAAGATATAGGTAAGATTTAAGAGAAGATTGAACGAAATGATGCTATTTTAAATAAAAATAATAAAATAATAAAAAATTACATGCAATGAAAAATTAGGTGTCTATCGAGCATTTTGTACACAAATTAATATTCTGTCGTAAAAAGATCTTCTTATATACGTCACAAAATGTATGTCTTCTTGGTGTGGACTCCAAATTGTGAAGCCAACTTCTTTGTTCAAAAGTAGCTACCATATTTAATCAGATATTTTAAGCTGCCAGGGACAACAAAATTCATATAAATGTTATATAATTTTCAACTGTTACAAAAGCTTATGCGTTTTGTGAGTAGATAATACAGGGGTTAAAGGCGAATGGGGAATAGTGCATCATCTAAAAATGTGTATGGCAAGTGCATTTATTAGTTAAATGGACTACAACAGCTTTACGTATCTTAGAACGAGCTGCATGCAATCCACGAAGCCAACAGCTGGCCGCGTTCCATTTGGTTCCCAGGGGTGGTAGGCAAAGGGCGAGGCGGGGGCTTAGCAGAAACACAGCTCCAAATGATTGCCACATGCAACCGCCACTCACACACATAGAAACTTATACTTATAGGCACAACGCACGCGACTATCTGTTATGTAAGTCTGTGTATCTGTGTGAAAGGGCAAAGATACAAATGTATCTTTAAGATTGAATACAGAAAACCGAACTAAAGCAAAAACTCTTAAACTGACCAAGGACTTGACCAGATTCCAGCATGCAAATTGGAAACAACTAACAAGAAAATACAAGTCGTCCTTTAACATTTCGATGAATGGACCTCCGTGTGAAGGGACGGGAATGGGTTGTCTACGAAAGGAAAAACGTGAAAAATATTTGCTTGATTAAGTTTCGAGATGCATATCTATAATAAAAGATACATAAGCACAGCAATATGTTTATACGCTTGCTGAGAGTATGCGGATTTTGTTAACAAATATGAAACGCCTTAAGCTTGTATTATTGAAAAAAAAAATACAAATAAATAATTTAGTACCTACAGATAAAAGCTAATCTCTTTTAATGCTAACACTTTGATAGGAAACTGAATTGTCTTTTTTATTTCTATTTAATTAACTTGTTAATGTTGTATTCTTTTAACATAAAACTTTAATCAACAATCACAATAATAATAATATTGCACACCTGTTTTGGTTAGATCTGCAAGACCTTAGGGAAAAAAACCAAATCATTTATGGCACAAGTTTTTGAACGTGAAAAGGAAATTCTTCTTTCAGTACTCAAATAAAGAACCATTTCAAAAGGTTTTAGTCTTATTTCGATATATTTTACTTAATTCAAGCCTGCTTTTAGTTTTGTAACTTTATTTTATGAACAAAGCTGTTCGAGGGTATTTCATATTCGACATTCCAGCGCAAAGCTGAATTCTTTAGCATTATTGTCTCCCTGTACAGATTGATGGCATTCAAATCGCTTTCGTTTGCCCGAGAAATGATGTCAATAAATCAGTTGGGTCAATTCGGAATATAGAATGATCTGCACTGGAAACCAAAAATGCTTGAAACACAAGGTATAAAAGTATTCGAAAAGAAAGAATATATACGTTTTTTTTTTTTTGTAGAATATTGGCCTCAGGATTTAGAGAGTCTTTTATAAGAATAGGAGCTGTCATATCATAAAAGCCGATCTGTAACGTATTTGAATAAATTATGAAGAATAATAGGTGTATGTATATTTCTTATACATGTATGTATATAAAGCTTATTATTGTTATATTATTTTTAGCACTTCGCGAACAATTGGATATTTATATATATGTATAAATGCAAATCTAGTTACTAAGTTATATATATATATATATTACATCTGGCACGTATATTTACTTTGGATAAATAATCAGGCTTAGTCCCCCATTTTTCACATCGAAACGTGGATTTGGCGGAAAGCAGGAAAAATATAGTTTCAAAACTTATCGTCAGAAAGGCCTACAGCGCAAAGTGCAGCTTGTTAGCTCACTTAGTCAATTTGATATAGATAGATATTTATTATTACATATAGATGATAGATAGATATTACTAATTTAAGGTCATAGTCTAATCCTACATTTGATGCTCTGGCAAAACCGTCGACATCACAGCCCGTATTGTGCTTTAACGAGCTGGATATATTGTCATGGTTGCCTTGCAGTCCAGGTGCTGCTTAACTGTCGGCAGGTGAAGCGTTGTTGGGTCTATGGACTTAAGAGAGAGAATGCAATATGCACATTGCGAGCTGGATTTTTAAACTATATATAATAAATAAATTCATGGGAATATTATAATTAAGCGTTTGTTGTTATTTCATTAGATTCCAGCTCCTCGTCGTCAGTTTCCAGCTGTGACTCGGCAGCGTCAGCTTGCTCTGGCTCTGTATCATCTGTATCAACTTCCTCGACCTCCCCCGCCTCCTCGTCGTTATCTCCGTCTTCATCATCCGCTGCCTCGTCATTTTCATCGTCTTCTTGCTCGTCATCACCATCATCATCCCCGTCCCCGTCTCCGTCATCATCGTCCTGCTCCTCAATCATCACCGGCTGGCACTGCAGCTGCAGCGGCGGCAGCGTCACGCTTGGAGCAATGGCATAGCGGAGCGTCCAGTCAATCGCATTGTTGTTGTACTCCTGGCGATTGTCGCGATAGAGTGCGGCCATCAGCTCGTCGCACGGATCATCTGCGTTGGGTTCGCGCATCAGGGCGCAGACAGCATGTAGAATTGTGGACACATTAATCAAGGCGGTCCACTTGGTGCTCAACAGATCCCAGCAGATGTAGCCATCGAAGTCAATATTGCAGTGATAGATTTTGGTTAGGAAGTTCACGCGCGGCGCCATAAACGGATAGTTTCTGTTGAACTTCAGCCGCAACGAGAATACGCCCAGATAATAGGGCGAGTCCCTTACGCCCAAAATGGTCGCCTCCCATAGCATCAGATCCCCGGTCACGGGCCAGGCGCAACAATTGCTCGGCTGCAGCTTATACAGTTCATTCAGTTCCTTTCGCAAGCGTCTTTCGGCCATGTTTGGATACATAAACTTGGTCAAAAAAAAAAAAAAAAAAAAAAAAAAAAAAACAGCAACAAACTAACAACAGCACTAATAGAACAAAACAAACAAAACACTTCTTAGATCGCAAAAAATAAAAAATAAAACAAACAAAAAAAAAAAAACAAAAACAATAAGAAGTTGCGGCTATCAGTCCCTGAGCCAAACGATTGACTATGCCAAGCTTCTGCAATTGCCGCCGGTTACCCGGTTTCCAGCCGCACGTTCTGTTCGCAGTTCGACTCCGATTGGGTTCCAAAAACTCAGTTTACCTCACAGCTTTAGTTTTTCGTCTTACTTATTTCACACAAACAATCGCCAGAGACACGTTTGATAATATTTGGGCTTGTAAATCGAGCAGCTGCGCACGAAAAGTCGGTACATCAGCTATTGCACAATCACGATGACAGATGTGTCAAAGTTTTAAGCTTCGATCTGACTTACATTTTGAGCTGTACAGATAACAAATATATATCGACATTGTATCAATGTATTTATCGATGCTGTGTTTTTTACTTGTGCCGTTTGCCGTTAACACTAGCATATACTTGAAAAAAAGACACCAATATCTGTCATTTCACATAAGTAAATATCTCAAAATAAAATAATAACAAAACGCACAGCTATTACTTGTTGCCATTCCGATAGATCACTTTGCACGCCGACTTATCGATACACAAGAAGATATCGATAAACGGCAGCAGCTATCAATCAGCTTGCAACTCGAATTATGTGGACAGTTGCTCGTCGGGAGCTAAGCTTGCCACAGTTGGATTTCGGGGAACTGGACTTGGTGCGGTGGCATGGGCAATCGTTTGGGCCATCAGGGCTGTGCGCAAATCAGGGAGGAGGATTTGGAGGCTGGCAGGGCCATACACCATCTGCCTGCCTTCAATCGCTCCCAGCCGGCCGAATGGTTCGCCGGGATTGAGGAGCTTTTCGAGGAGCTTCACATCTACAGCGATGCGGCCAAGTGTGAGCTGCTGATCGACGAACTGGACCGGGACATACTCCAGCTGATCCACAACCTTAAGCTATATACTTAGCACCGACCTGGCAGCGGGTGACCAGCGCTACGAGAGCATGAAGGGCATCATATTACACAGTCTCTTCGTAAACGGATTGTAGGCGGAGCTTTCTCTGAATCCTAAACTCAGCTGCTCTTAAAATTATTGTGCAAAGGGCATTTGTTTGTTTGTTTTTTGCTGTTGTTGTCCTTTTTTTGTTTTCAATTTATTTGTTTCAGTTTTCTTGATAGTTTTCTGTTTCTCTCTGTCTCTCGCTGTGTTTTTCGCACTCTTTCAGAGCTTTTTCTCTCGCGTTATCTTGTTGAAAATTTAAAAATACACAATGAAATATTTAGAGAAATGCGAGGGCGCGTGCCTATAAAAGCAACAATGCTTTTCTTTCGGCCATATGCGACTATCAAATGCTCTACGTTGGATAAATACGATTTTGCAATGTGAGAATATTTACGAGACCCTGCCTTTAAATTTTTGTATAAATTATTAATTGTGTGCATGTGTAAAATATATTTCTTTAACTGAACTGTAGATATTTTTAATTTTGGCTGTTCAAACTTTTGTAACTGTTCCCGTGTGTTTCTAATAAATTTACAAAATATTTGAAGTTCCTTAACATAAAAACAAATAGCCCATCAATCTTATGCTTGATATAGAAATATGTTACGGAACTACATGAATAAATGAAAGCTGACTAAGGTATAAGAAGTATTTAAAAGGTGTCATAAGTAGTCTTATAAGCAAAGTTAGGGACCTCATTGAGGCTAGAGAAATATGTATCTACTAAATGTACTAAATTGTATGATATACATAAAATGCAATAAAAGAATATTGTATATTTATTATATAAACACGAAGCTGAAGGACCTTATAATGAAAGAGAAGAAGTGTATATGCGTGCTCCTGCTCACTCACATGCCTACTTTCTCTTCCTCCTCTTCCTCTCCTACTTCCGCCCCCGCGAGCTCTCTCTCTCTCGCTGTGTGTCTCTCTCTCTCTCTCTCTTATTCTCTAGCTCGCTTTCTAGCTCTCCTGTCTGTCTGATTTAGTAATGTAAGATATTGATTTTTGAATGCTTTGCTCAGTTCGATTTCTATATACTCGCATAGGCGTGCATATTTTAGCAGATTAATGTGAAGAGCACATGATACTTTGCCCATAACTCTACACATTATGCATATTAAACGATCGACAAATGCGCTCTTTATGCGTTCTGCACTCTCAGAAGAGCTAAAGATAGCGGCAGAGAGAGTGAGAGAGTGAGAGTGCGCTGAGAGAAAGAAAAAGAGAGAGAGAGCACTGGCAGATAGACACACACACAGACACACAGCTAAAGATACTGCCTGGGTGTATATATATATCACATTCAGATACGGATTCAGTGCGCTCGCCGTAGTCGAACGGCGGACTTTTTTTTTTGTTCTGTTCCGTGCCGAGATCAACGCAGCAGCCAAACAGAGCGGAAGATTTCCTTTTGCCTTGCATTTTCCCGAGATATTTTCCACAATATTAATTTCGCTCGCATTTATATTTCTTTCAAATTGTATTCTTTATTTGTTCGTTCGTTCGTTCGTTCGTTCATTCGTGCGCTCGTTTCACGTTTGTTTGGCCGAACGGTTAAAACTCAATGGAAAATGGAAAATGGAAAATGCCAAATAGAAGTCTCAACTAGCCAAACAACAAACAAATGACAAATCACAAATCGCCGATTGCAAATACAAAGTGACAATCGCCGTACAACGCGGCGTATGCGTGTTGCACATATAAGTGAAAAAAGCGCGTAGTGTGTGCGCGCGTGTGTGTGTGTCTTTTTTTTTATATTCGTTTTTTTTATACATTTTTTTTTGTGTGCTCGGTTTTCCACAAGGCAAGCAAAAAGTAAGCAAGAAATAATAAATAACAATAAAAAAAATGAAAGTACGAGCGCTATAAAGTGAAGCCTAACCAAAAGCTGCTAAGCACATTTCGCGGCTCTGATGACGTCACATATACACACATATTTATATATATGTATATATATATGTGCAGCTATAGCTATAGCTATAGGTATAGCTATATAGATACATATTTAAATGACTGCCAGAGCCGCCACAACGGCCGCACAATCATCCAGTCAATTTGCGCTGTGTTTTGCGGGGCATTAAAACAAAAGCATTTCACTACGAAATATTTATTGTTGTGTCTATGTGTGTATGTGTGTATGGGTGTGTGTGTGTGTGTGTGTGTGTGCGTGTTTTGTACCAATGCGGAATGTGTTTATAGTAGCCGCCGCTGTTGCCATCGAAGTTGCCGCCACGCCAACCCAAAGCAATCCAATCCAATACAATCCAATCCCACCCGTCCATGCGAGCACCCATCCATTGTCCGCTTCCATCGCCCTCATCGCCCCCATCGCTTCCATTGCCCACATCGCATCGAGAGCTGTTTACCACAAATGAATCGATTCGTATCTGAAGTTGACACATGCTTTAGAGTGGCGCTGGGATATATCTGGTTTCGTTTGGGTTTTATATTTTTATCAAATCGCCCGACTAGTTGTTGTGTTTAATTTGTTGTTTATTTTTTTTCCCCCTTTACCGGCTGATAAGAAATTTTTCACTCACTTTTGCAAGATGCTCGAGGCAATTATAGCTTATATATTTACTAGCAATAAAATCTTAAATAATATAGCTAGCACTTCGCTTTCGGTTAACTATCATATTGAGGGTTTAGGGGTCAATATGCCCCTGTTGTTTGAGCTGAACCGATTTCAAAAAGTTTGGCAAGCTGTCCACAATATCTTATAGACCTGTAAGATCGTGTAAGCTTGAAAAATCGCTAAGAACTATGTAAAGCGTTTCAGTTAACTTTTCTATAGAAATTATCCATCTACATTTAACTACGGAAAATCGTCAAATATAATGAAATACACTATCAGTCTATAAGATAGTGAAAAGGTTTATGTTTTCTTTATTAATTACTCAAAGACGTGATTGATTAGTCATATGGTAGCAGTACCCAAATGATCTCAAAGATCTGTTCTATCTATTAACCTCTTTTAGAGGTTACCCAATCCTGTCCTTGGCGCCCGGAGCTAAGCAACAATAAGTGCAAACAACTCTTTTCAACAGGCAGAAGCAAGCATCTCCAACCTTTTAGCCATATTCTCCATTTCGAAAACCACAAAAAAACTGAAGACTTGAAATAAAAAGTAAATATTCTAGAATACCATAAACAGAATGATAGCTTGATAACATTCGTTTTTGAGACAATTCCCAATCCTCAAGTTTATAACAAATTTAAAGAGCTCATTTTGAAATCTGGCACTTTGATAACTGAATTTGAAAATGATCGGACTGTAGGCACCGATGTAAATCAAAGAAGAAGAGGCACAGTCGCTGCATTCGAAACGTGCTTGGATATTGCAGGAATATCCTGGTCGAGGCACTCTGACTTGTTCAAGTATCGAGCTCTGGGCATTATAGAAATACCGTAACGTAACAAAAGGTAAAAAACATATCAAAGTTTGTTTTGGCACTTTTCATGTTTTAATCATATCCGGCAATCAATTGGCACGCAATCTCACAGAAATCGCCACTTAATTCTATTTATAATAACATTAACAAAGACAACAACAATTTCAAATGAATCCAAAACTTATTTTTGGGTGGCACCTACAAAATTCACAAAATAAAAAAAAAATAAAATTATAATTATAATAATAATAAAATCATATTTTTAAACGCGACGATGTTGACGACTCATGAGCCCGAAACACGCTGGTGGATTCCCTACACAAATACAGCCACAGCATTAACAAGTGTGTGGCAGTGTGTGGGTGTGTGTGACTGTGTGTGACTGTGTGGGTGTGTGCCCTTCAAGCCCAAAGCGTGCAAATACATATTGTAAAAATATATTGTATATAGATGAGCATTCGAGCAAAACAAAATGCCGTCAAATATCGCATCTCGAATT